GGTGGAACCTTACTCTTCAGGCTTTTAAGGAGACCTGGCTGAAGGTAAGACTTCTTTCACAATTTGGGTGTGTCATCGCAACTCCCAAGCTTCTGGGGCCAGAACTCTGCTGGTCTCACTCGCAGTGCAGTGTCCTGTCCCCCGCCCTTCCCACACCCGTCCTTCTCTCCCCTCTTAGCATCCTCCTCCTGAGCCCAGGCCCACAGGACCAACCCCGTGTCCAACCTGGTGGCCCTACCGCCTTCTCCATTCACACTCACTGCCTTAGGGTGACAGCTCTCACCTCAGGAAAGGGCACTCTGGTTTTGTGTTCCCCCTGAGACACAGACAACTGACTCCCCCCTTTTTATGCTGGGTAGCTGGGTGCTTCCTAAGAAGCAAAGAGGAACTAACTCTGGGCATTTCATGGGCACTAGGCAGTAAGTTAATTTTTATTTGAGTTACCTCACTCATTCCCAATAGCCGCATGAGAAGACTTATAAAGAAACCCGAGCTCAGGGACAAAGTAATTTGACCATCCCATTGTTAGGGAAAGGTGAAACTAGACTAAAATCTCACCCGCGTAACTTCAAAATGGATTCTTGCTCACTGCAATACTCTGTATTAAATCAGAATGCTTACCAGTCAGTTGTTGGTCTCGTGCAAGCACAGTGTTTGGGTGGGAAATGCTGCTTTGCTGATTTTCAGGCCAGCATCATAGAGGCTGTAATCTACAAACTCCTGAAATCTGGGGCCCCAACACCCTGGGCACGTGCCCACACCCTACAACCACCTACAGCATTCACACTAGGCTGTTTACAAAGCACTCACAAGATACATTGTCCATAAATCCAACCAGGAGGGCAGAAGTATGAAACAATCAGAAAGATGAGGGGCCGGACATGGGCCACCTCATCCAGCCCCTACATTTCTTTTTAAAAATAGCAGATACTTTTTTTTTTTTAAAGAATTATTTATTCATTTGAAAGTTGGAGTTGCAGAGAGCAGAGAGAGAATCTTCCATCTGCTGGTCTACCCCCCAATTGGCAGCGATGGCCAGAGTTGTGCTGATCTGGAGCCAGGAGCTTCCTCTGGGTCTTCCACATGGGTGCAGGGGCCCAAGCATTTGGGCCATTTTCTACTGCTTTCTCAGGCCATAGCAGAGAGCTGGATCGGAAGAGGAGCAGCCGGGACTTGACTCCACACCCATACGGGATGCTGGCGCTGCAGGCAGTGGCTTTACCCACTACACCACAGCGCCAGCCTCCACTTCACCTACATTTTACAATGAGATTCACTCCCCTAAACCTTGTGTTCTTTCCACACAGCCACTGTGTCTTGCACAAACACCTTCCTGCCCATTTCCTTTGTTCCTCTGGGGATTAGATGGAAACCCAGAGCCTAGTCTCTGTTCCCAGACAAGACCCTGCCCTAGGCTGGCGCCGCGGCTCACTAGGCTAATCCTCCGCCTGTGGCGCCAGCACCCTGGGTTCTAGTCCCAGTTGCTCCTCTTCCAGTCCAGCTCTGCTGTGGCCCGGGAAGGCAGTGGAGGACGGCCCAGCTCCTTGAGCTCTGCACCCGCTTGGGAGACCAGGAGGAAGCACCTGGCTCCTGGCTTTGGATTGGCGCAGCGCACCGGCTGTAGCAGCCATTTGGGGGGTGAACCAACAGAAGGAAGACCTGTCAAGAAAAAAAAAAAAAAAAACACCACACACCCTGCCCTAGTAAATTCACCTTTGGCCTGTCTTGGCCTTCCTGGAATTTTAATCCCTAGTACCTTTTCTTGTCCATTTTGCTTCTCCCACCCCAAGTCAGTTCTGTGACTCTACTCCAAGCATGGTTATCTTGAGTCATGGGCAAGATCAGAAAGGCCTTGCTAGGGCCAGTATTGTGGCTTAGTGGGCAAACTCACCAACTGTGACACTAGCATCCCATATTTGGGGGGGGGGGGAGAGAAGGAGAGCAGTTTGGGCTGTTTCCAGTTCAGGTTCCTGTTAATGGCCTGGGAAAGTAGTGGATGAAGACCCAAGTGCCTGGGTCCCCGCCACACTGAGACACCCTAGAAGAAGCTCCTGGCTTTGGCCTGACCCAGCACTGGCTGTTGTGGTCTTCTGAGGAATGAACTAGCAGATGGACGATCTCTTGCTCTCTGTGTCTCCCTGTCACTCAGACTTTTAAAACAAAACAGCTGCCAACAGTCTCTCTTCAAGTACTAAGGAAACTTAGTCTCCATAATAAAGCCCTTCCCTGAGCACCTACAGAGCTGGACGCTGGCACAGACCCATGCAGCAACGCTGCAAGCTAGATGTCATTTCCTACCACACAGGCATGGAGGCTGAGGCCTAGAAACAGCAACTTCCCCAAAGTTAGAGCTATGGGGACTCAAACCCAGGAGTCACCCCCAACGACTCCATTCTTGTGTCACAGAAACTTTTTTTTTTTTCTGACAGGCAGAGTTAGACAGTGAGAGAGAGAGACAGAAAGGTCTTCCTTCCATTGGTTCACCCCCCAAATGGCCACTATGGCCGGCGTGCTGTGCTTCTCCTGGTCTCCCATGGGGTGCAGGGCCCAAGCACTTGGGCCATCCTCCACTGTACTCCCGGGCCACCGCAGAGCTGGACTGGAAGAGCAACTGGGACAGAATGCGGCACCCCAACTGGGACTAGAACCCGGGGTGCTGGTGCCTCAGGCGGAGGATTAGCCAAGTGAGCCAAGGCGCTGGCCCCAGAAATTCTCTTAAAAATGATCACTGCACTGATTGTAAAGTGGGTTGAGTTTGGCTCAAATATGGTCCAAAGTGCACAAAGACTTGGGAAGTGACATTCTCAAGCCCATGGGCCTCCTCTAGACCAGCACAGCTGTCTTCATGCCACCTTGATTCCTGTGTCCTTAGCACCTCCTCCTTGCCTCCAGGTCACTGGCATACACAAACCTTCAGGGCCTCATTAGGGACCTAGCAGCATGCCTGCTCTTCTTTCATTGGGCGTTTCAGGCCCTTTTAAATATAACAGAACAGAAATTTTGGAAGAGCATTCCCCAGTGAGGGCAGTGGTGACAGGGCCCTTGTGAGAGTTCAGAGGTCACTGAGAAGCGGTAGATTCTGGTAAACACGAGCCTGCACACTGCAGCGCACCTGTGCTATGCTCAGGAGCTGACAACTAGACATGCCCCAAGGATGGATCCTTGGGCCCCTGCACCCATGTGGGAGACCCGGAAGAAGCTCCTAGCTTCTGATCAGATCAGCTCTGGCTGTTGCAGTCATTTGGGGAGTGAACCAGCAGATGGAAGCTCTCTCTGGCTCTTTCAAATAAATAAAATAATCTTCATCCCCCCCCCCCCCCAAAAAAAAAGTAACCTGGATGGAGAAGACTTTGAAGGAGACACAGAAAGGCTAGGGGTCCTGAAGCTAACGCCTGAGCCATTGCTATGGACCAGGCCCGCTGCTAAGCTTTCCTTTATGCACCCTACTTCAAATGACCCTGACAACACGGCTAATGCTCTTCCCATCCATAGCCGCATAAACACGGTTTATCATTTACCCAAGGTCACACAGAATGGCAGATGCAGTACACAAAGCCTTCATTCTTGACCACTACACACTGCATGGTAGGCTATATGTTTGAGAGGGAATAGAAAACCTGACCCAAATGTGGTTTACACTGTGGATGAAGGGGCAGAGCCTCCCTAAAACATGGGACTGACCTCAACAAATAAGGTTTTAAGCAAATGGAATAAAACAGCAAAATTGGCTAGGGCCAAAGAGAAGCCTTCCAAGGCCCAGAGCCAGAGGAAGAGGTGACTGCAAGGAGATTACAGAATGGCCTGCAGCCCAGAGCCTGGCTTGGCACAAGGTAAAGAGGTGGCTTCTTCACCCACAGGACTGGAGACCAAGGTATGAGGCAGAAGGACCAAGCGGCTACAGAAGGGAACTAGAGAGGACTGGCTTATGCTGCAGGGATGGCAGGGTAGGGGGCGGCTAGGGGTGGGAGCAGAACCTAAGATCAACAGAATCGTCCTGTGGAAAGGGCTGAGAATTTGTCCGAACGTACCTCGGCCTGAAGCCTGAGCAGTCTGATTCTAGTATGTCTCCCAAGCAGGATCTGCCGGAATGCAGACGAGCACAGTGCAGGGCTACAAATGAGCAATTCTAATCTGTCTGTACCACAGGACAGATCTGGGCGAGCAGCCAAAATAATTTTCAAAGATTTCTGTGACTCATCAAAGAGTTTTCTTCTTTTTGAGATCTATCATCTGGTCTTTTCCTTGGCATTAACAATAAAATCCTTTAAACATAGAAGAGCAGAGTGTTTTTAGACTGGAAAAAACATAAGCTATAGGAGAAATATATGCCTTCCACTCCTCTCCATTCTTGGCCAAGTACTCAGCTCCAGGTACCAGCTCGGATGACACTACTTCCTACAGGGTGCCCACCGTGGGCACAGGGCTTGGTCAGGCGCTTTTCTTTCAGGCATCTCAGATTTTTCATGGTCTGCTGTCTCCTCCACTGAGCTGAGAGCATCATGAATAATGACTAACACAGTGCCTGGGACAGAAACACTCAACAAATGATCAATATTACAATCCTATTTTTCTGAATTCTCTTTTGAATGCTCTCTGCATTCATAACAATCTCAACACTCGTGATTTAACCACATTGAAGAATTACAACTGAACGCAGGGGGCCTGATCTGCCATGGTGTCTCGAGGTGTGAGGCAGCCGCAGCTTCTCCAGGGTGGAGGTCAGACCTCAAAGTGCCTCGCCCAGGGGCCCCAGGCTCACGTGCACAGCAGGGACGTCTGGCTGACTGCACAGGAAAGGCAGCTGACTTGGCCCCTTCCCAGTGCTCCTCCTTCTAGGCTATGTTTAGGTAACAGGACTTTCCTGCCTGCCCCTAACTCAGTTCAGGCTTTCTGCATGCTATTTCTCCTTGTTCTTCCTATGTTTTGTCCAAGAGGGAAGGAGTCACTGTACAGACAGCACTAAAGCCAAGTTTCTAAGACAGTCACATAATAAATGTAACTACCACCACCACAGCCATTTATTAAGTGCTTACCAAGCACTGTGCTAAAGCTTTACAAACATTGTTTCAGTTCACCCAACAACCCTGAGGTAGTTATTTTCAACACGCCCCCGCCCCCACCTCTGCCTATTACAGTTGAGGAAACTGAGGCTCAGAGAAGTGAAGTCATCAACCAAGGGCAAACTGAGTTACGAAGCAGCAAAGGTAGAAATCTGAATCAGATATAGGACCCCATGCCCAGGCTTTTAAACCCCAGGATAGACTGTCACCCACTCCAAAGTTAAAGGACACACGTTCCTTCCCAGATACTAGAGACCAGGCTTCAGTGGGGCCGGGAGCAGTTTTTAAGCCTCTGCATCCTCTCTGACTCAAACTCTTGGAGGAGTATAAAGTCTGGGGATGAGCTGCCACAGGGGCCTTTTCTCTCCTCTAAGACCTCCCCTCCTGACAGCTGACTCCTCAATGTGTTGCTTCCCTTCCAGCAACCTCTACAATGCAGAGGTCAAACTTGAGGACAGTCAGATACCTGAAAAAAATGTCTCCTTACAAAACGCCCTTCATTGCTGAACTGCTGGACTCCAAGCTACACTCATGAACTCAGACACAAACTTCAGTTCTTCTGCTCTAGTTTACCAGACCTGGCACTATCCCCAAGGTCTCCTGATCAATGCCCAAGCCCACCCCCTACTGTTCTCTACCATTCTCTAGGTCCCTCCCCTAACCCATCTCTGAAGGCCTCATTGACCATAGGCTCCTGGACCTCAAGGCTGCCCGTTAAGAGGCTTCACTCCCCAAAATGCACCAGAAGTGCTCAGCAGGGCTCCACTCAGGATCCTAAGACCTGTGAGGGTTCAACAGAGCTGGCTGAAGACAGGCAGAAAGGGCCACCGGAGGGAGGCTGTGCAGAACTGGCAAAGGAATGGCGAGGTTAGAGCAAAGAACCAGACTAACCATGGGCAAGGAACCAGAGCTCTCAAAGGTTTCAAGAGGAGGATGGACCTAAGATGAACAGGGTGATCCCAGGCAGAAGGACCCTACAGTCCAGTCTATCCAAACACCTGCAACCATGGAGCTTGAGTGAAGGGCAACTGTTTAGGAAAAGTCTGTGGTAACGGGGTTACTCTTTGAGGAGGAATCAAGGGGTGCTCTGAGAAGGGAGGCTGGCAGGAAGCTTGAGAGGAAGTGGGCAAGGACTGGAGGACCAGCAGCTGGAAGCTGAGGACAAAAGGGAGTATAACAGGCTTCTGGAATGCCCTGAGCCACTTCCAGGCACACCCATCACCTATCCCATCTGGCTAAAACTGGTCACTGATGGTCATTTCCTGTCACCCTTGTGAGCATCTGGCTTTGAAGCATGGGAGATCCAGAGGTACAGAACTTACTGAGACACATAGCCCTTTCCTTGGGAAAACAACCCAACAACTGTCCATCCCTCAATTCCTCAGGAGGCCTCCCACCACATACACACCCCCAAACTGAAGCACACATACAAGTACAAATCAATACTGCCCTTGAAGGCTGAAGAAACAGAGGAGGGAGGAGAGGTAACTCAGACATGGGAAGATGCAAAGGCCTCAGTGCCCTCTACCAAGTCACAGCTGTACTGGTGCAGGGAGGAAAACTGATGCTGCAGGGAAGCCTACAGTGATGAGTTCTTCCCCAGGGGGCCCAGGGCTTGGGGGAGCCCAGGCGCACAGCATATATGGTGGCTTTGTAGCCCCTGGCTGTTTCGTGTGGCTTCCTCTTCAACTAAGCAGAAGCTTCTGAGGTTTGACAAAGTCAGGTTTTCTTCATGCTCAGCACACCTTGAGTCCAACAAATTCTCTTCACAAGTCAGGGCTTACGGGTGTTATGACAAAACATTTCCACAAACTACAAACGCACGTCAACACTCTTCTATTATCCTCTGTCCTGTAGCTCCCATTTGACACCCACCTCTGTTCTGTTGACTCCTAACAGAAGATGTCTGTACCTGTATCCCTCTCAGGCCGGAGACTGCACCTCTAGTTTTCCTGAAGAAACACAAGCTCCACCCATCTGTAAGAACACTGAAAGGGTAGTGGCCCAGGAGTCTCCATGGGGCAGAGGAGGGAGTTTCTCCACACTGGGCTGGCCCACGGATAGGGAGCCTTCCCCTCTGTCTCCTAACAGATTCAGATTAATGATCGCTCATTCCTAATTGTCAAATTTCTTTTCCTTCATCCTGTGTCTAATCACCAGTGACAGAAACCATTACGCAAATGAGAGCAGACGACTTCCCCCAACTGTTCGCGTGGTAAAAACCTTGTAATTTAGAGCTCTGATTTGTAGGGGAAGCTGGTCTCCCCCAGGCATCCTGGGCATCTGCTCAACTGATGCCCAGAACAGCCCCTCCTCCATCCCTGGAACTCCAACCCCCCAACAAATATTTGACTTCACAATACAGTAGTTTTCTCTGTGGCTGCTAGTATGAACATGAGAGCTTACAACATGGCTGACCTCTACACTGGCCCAAATCGCCATCCTTCCTTGGTGTGTGCCAGCTAGGATGGGGTCTACAACTCTAGGAGCCACCCTCTCCTCTGCTGTGAGCACAATTTGAGCCTAAGTGCCCTAACCCAGTTAAGAGAAGGAGCCTCAGTCTCTTCATTCACTGAGGGAAGCAATGCAGAACATGAATCAAGATTCTTCAGTGATCACCTACAAGTACTTCAGTTCTGTTGACACAAAAGCATGCTGGGAGGAGTTATGGGATCTATTCAAAGACACACAAGTTACTAATGGCTTCTTCTGACACTCTTAATTCATAATAACGCTTCCCAAGCAGTGTTCTCAAGATATCTTTAGCTGGGAGTCCAGAGTTTTCTCTCTGGTAGCTTCTACAGCCTCTCTGCTGAGCCTGCCTTTCAGGGCCCGGGATACATGTGAGAGAGGTAAGGAAGGACAATCAACATAGTCTGCTGGGAAGGAGCCAGCAGGGGGGTTGTAGCCAAGTAGTCTTGGGCTTGAATCCTGATGGCTACTACTCAATCTCTCTGAGCCCACCTCTTTATTTGTGAAGTCAGAATGCCCACCCTGCAGGATATATTGAGGAACAAAGATAAAAGCACCAGGCACACATTACACATCTAAAACCCAGGGGTCACTATTATATTATTCAAGGATCAGGGCCAATCCTGTGAAGGCTCCAAAATCAGCCTTCCCCCACCTTCCGCCTTGGCCACCTTTAGTCAGAGCTGTGTCAGCACAGCATCCAGCAAGGACCAGATGAGTGGCACACGCCTGCCTGCTGCGCATCACCCACTTCTTTGAGGGGCTGAGCCAGGAACGTGGCAACCTGCTGAGAAGAGTAACAATCTGCTCTTGTTCCAAGTGTGGATGTGGGCACGTTTTTCCTCCATCTGCCTTTTTCTCTTTGATGCACTCCTCTTCCCCCTAAGAGATGGAGGGATGGAGATCACTGCAATCCTGTTTCCCAACACTAGCTATATTTGAAAGAGCTACATTTGGTACCTACCAAGTCTACACACCCACACTGCATCAGAGAACCCTAGAATGGGGCACTCAAAATAAACAGCCTTCCCCATGATATAAACACAAGCACACGCATGCATACACACATCTGCTCAGTCCAACAGGGCACTGTAAACTGAGCATTAGGGGTGACAGCCATAGTTCATACACTGGAAGTAAACCTTTGGCAAAAAAAAGAAACAAAATAAAACCAGAGGCTTCCCATTTCCTCTTCCCTTCCAGAGACAAGGGGATGATGGAGATGGGAGTGGAAGTAGACACAGGGCTACCACACTGCCCAGTTCCAGGGGCCCCGGCCCCACTGAAGAGCTGTGAACGACAGCCCTTCGAGTTGTGCAATAGAAGCTGCCCAGCTGTACGCTGCAGCCCTGAGAGGGTGCCCGTGAGTAGCTACCAACAGAAAAGGAAATTTTCTTCCCATGCTCTACCAGTGGCCCTGACTAATGAGGGTGCTGTGGAACACGACAATGGGGTCTGGCAGAGGCGCTGGCTTTAAGAGGCAAGGCTACATTTCTGCCCTTGCCCTGAGGTGGATGAAAGGTAGTGAGTTAGCTGCCTAAGCTTGACCCCGTTTCGTCTACTCAGCCAGGAACTCAGCAGGAGTAGAGGATGTGATCTGGGCAGGAAGGGTCATGTGCCTGGAGGTTCTAGCCAGTAAGCCTCAGGCAGGCTGCAGTGAGACCTGACCAATACATGATGGCTAAAATCCTAGTTAAAAAGCTTTACGCTAAGTCAGGTGGTACTTCTGGGAATCACAATGCACTGTCCCACTGGGCAGGGTGAGCGACAGAGAACCTTGGTAAGCAGGGAGACTAGCCAGTGCAGACACATATGCATATGAATAAATGTGCATGTGGGTGCATGTGCACATGTACACACACACACACACACACACAGATACACAGAGACTTGCACCCCTAGAACCTAGAGGAACCACAGCTATAACTCCTATAACTCCCTGGATACCTAGCACAGGGGTAAGAGCTGGTGCTGAAAGAGAAAAGCTATGTGTGTCTGTAATTTGGAATTTCTGCACAATCCTTGGTTCTTGTGTTCCAAGGTTTCTTCTTGTGTATGGCTTGAGCTTGTAGGTCCCAACTGGAACCCTGGCTAATCCTCACTCAGTGGAAGGCTATCTGGGCTCTCAAAGACAAGCCGCTCTCTTCATTAGAGTCCCAGTAGCCATTCCCACCTGACAATGCAAAACTTCACAGGAGGCAGACTGATTCAATGGTCAGATCTGCTACCTCTGGCCTTGTGGCCCAGATGCAGTGAGGGGTCCATGAGCATCTCCTCTCTCTCTCAGGCTGAGGCACTGAGGTTGTAGGAGATAGGGCTGAGAGCCAGAAGTGACATCCTGACCCAGAGGGAGGGAACAGATACAAACACGTGTGTGCATGGACACACACAATTCCCGAGGCTGACAGACGACACACAGACATGATGACAACCAGAAGCTGGGACTCCACACACTGAATGCAGGACTTCAGGGGGCAGAGAGGAAAAGTGTTGGGGCATGAGAGGCGAGGGTAAGAAGTCCCTCCAGATGGCAGTGGAGTGCCAACCACCCTGCCTCGCCCCATACACCTTCCTCCAGGGCCATGGCAAGAGTCCAGTCCATTAAGTGCAGCGTGCAATACTAGTGCTTGGAGTCTCCTGTCCTCCTCAATGAAGCGGTGTGGACGGGATAGCAGTCACCTGGCAGGAGGCCTGAACCTGGCAGGCTAGTTGTATCGGCCCTTGATCATTGTGTTCAACAAGGGCCCCACCTGTAAAGAGACATGAGGAGCCAGTCAGAACTGCCTGTTCCCTGGCCCTGGAGTCGCACTGGGTATGTCCAGAGGCATTTAATGACCAGCCAAAGAAGGGGACAGACTTTTACATAATCTTGTGAACTTCCTGTGAAGGTCAAAACAGTATTCTGGGGCATGGCCCTCTCCTCAGGGTCCATCTTCTAAGACCTTCTCTTTCACAATACACTGTCTGGAAGCAACACCAAACTGATAAAAGACCAGAAGAGCTACTGGCCCCCAAGCACCCCAAAGTGTGTCTGTCTCCTCAGCGTGCCCTGATGTTAAACACCTCTACACCCTCAGCAAAGGGCACCTGCACCTGGAGCAACGGTCATCCCCTAAGCCCACAGGCAGTGGAGGCTGAGGCTACCCACAGGGAAGAGGCAAGAACGGTACAAACGCAGACCTCTTCCACTTACACGGCAGGCCAGTGGCACACCTGTGTGGGAAGCAGACCTCAACACTGACTGGAGCAGCCTTGGCAGAGCTGGGAGAGTGTGGGGAGACGCTTTACTGCTCACTTCCCGTTCCAGAGGAATCCCCTCGGGGCCCCAGCTGGCACGTAAGCCTCATGGGGAACAGCACTACGAGCATGGAACAGGGTATAACTGATCCGCCAGCCAAGCCCAGCTCTCACCAGAAAACAAAGGTGTTCTGAACACGCCCATAACCCCTGTGGAGAGAAAGGACAGCAGACATGGAGACAGAAGAACTATGGAGAGTCTCACACCAACCCTGACTTACCTCTTGTGGGTTCCCCAAGGCCTCTCCAAGCATCTTCTCAATGTTTCTCATTATGGCCACTTTCTGATGCGCTTTGAGAGGATATTCAATTCTCTTAGGGGTGGGTGCGCCCTACAAAGGAAGCAGCAGCTCAAGAAAAGTGTTTAGCAGCAGACCTCAGTGTAGTCCATCGTTCCTGGAAACAAGCTCCCTTCTGAGAACCCAACTTAACCCTATCCCTCTTCATCTCCCCAAACACCTCAGAATCACTTCCAGGGACAGCCAACCACCCCACCCAAGCCAAGGCCATTTATTATACCTACCTCACCCCAGCCCCAGTTCAATCTGGAAGAAAAAAAAATCAACTATATTCACCTTATACCAGAAGTTCACAGTGATGGTAATCCCCCCATTTAGTAATGACTCTATGTGATGCCACCTGCAAGAAACAAACAGGCTCCTGTTTACCAATAGTTTTCAGGAGAGGGATGGAAAGCTAGGCAGTACCCAGTTAAAGAAAACCCTGAAGTCAGTATCTTTATGATCATCTCTGTAAAACACACACTGGGCTACAGGCAGTGGCAGTCAGTCTCCATATACCCAAGAGCCAAGGACAGTTTCTCCAGCTGCAAGCCTCTGGGACAGAGGTGGACTTGAGGAATTATCTTCCTTTCTTAGGACAGGGTTGTCCCTTCCCCCACATTCACTATGCTGTGCGCCAACCTTCCTGTAGACCACACAAAACCCATCTTGCCACTACTCAGAAAGCTCACTGATAAGGCCCCCCAGGGAATGGGGAAGAAAGCTCCCAAGAAGCCCCCATCCCTAGCCCCCTCCTCACCAGTACATTGGGATGTAAAGAACATCACCAGGGCCAACCACTGTTTCATAACCAACCACGTTTTGAAAATTGGGGAACCTTTCGTAGTCAGGATTGTCAAAGTCCACCTAAGAGGTTCAAGAAAAAGAAAAAAAAAAATCAGTCAATTACCAAATCTCTACCAGTAACTACAATTTGCTACTTTGGTATTAAAAAACAAAGTCTTTAAAATTCTCTCCCACAGAATGATGCACGGCAGCCCATGCTTTAACGCCCAATGATTAAGAATCCTAGGCTTCAGGTCTTTATGTTAAGAGAAACTGGGCAGACACAGATAGGCAGACACTTGCATATTCTCTCTCATGTGTGGAAGGTTAGAAACATGATCTGAAAGCATGAGGCTGAGGAAGGGGGGAGAAAACAGTTAAGAGTAGGTGCCTTGAAGAAGAGTTACTATTTCTCTTTTTAGTATTTCCTTTTACTACTTAATACCATTGGTTGAACTCTTAACACAGAATTATTCTTATGTATTTAAATCCAATTGAAAATTGATCCCTGTTAAAAATAAGAGTGGGAATAAGAGAGGGAGATGTACAGTTTGGCACACATTCCCTCAGACTTACCCCTAAAGGTAAAGTTAAAAATTTGCCATGGGACTCCAAATCCCATTAAGTTAGCAGGTACCAATGTCATCTTACTAGTTAAAGTGATCAATTTAAGTTCATAACTGATCATAAAGATAGGAATAAGTGTCAAAGGGATAACATAAATAAGACCAAGTGTCTGCTAATAATGATAAGTAGAATTAAAAAGGAGAGAACGATCCAACATGGGAAGCAGGCCACACAGCAGACTCACAAAATGACAAAAGCCCTAAACAGTACTCTGGCCTCAGAATCAGCCCTTAAGACATTCAGATCTGGCTAAAAAGCCCATGAGAGCATTCCAGGCATGGAAAGCCAAGACACTGTGTCAAAAATTGACCTACATGAACGATCTCTGAGTGAGATCCCGGTGGAAGGAAGGGGGCCATCAAAGAAGGAGTACCTTTCTCTAAAAGGAGGAGAGAACTTCTACTTGGATTATGGCTCTTTCTAAATAATGAGAGTTTGTGGACTCAAGAGGCTTCCATAGCCTTGGCAGCTCATGACAAGAGCCTTGGGTGATCACTGACATCATAAATAAGAGTGTCAATTGTTAAATCAACAACAGGAGTCACTGTGCACTTGCTCCCCATGTGGGACCTCTGTCCTTAATGAGTTGTACTATGAGAACTAACAGTAAAACTAGTCTCTAAACAGTACTTTATACTTTGTGCGTCTGTGTGGGTGCAAACTGTTGAAATCTTTACTTAGTACAGAGTTCATCTTCTGTATATAAAGATTAATTAAAAAGCTATCTTAATGAAGAAAGGAATGGGAGAGGGAGTAGGAGGTGGGACGGTTTGGGGGTGGGAGGGTAGGTATGGGGGGGAAGAATTGCTATAATCCAAATGTTGTACTTTCAAAATTTATATTTATTAAACAAAAGCTTTCTATTAATAAAAAAAAAAGAGTAGGTGCCAGCATCCACAGCGCAGAGGGTAACTGTAGTTTGTTATATTGCATCATGTACTGTATGAAGAACTGGAAGAGAGAAGCTCGGAGGTTCTAACCATAAAGAAAAGACAAGGAGATGGGGGTTTTAATTGCCTGATTTGACCAATTTACACAGTATCCATGTGCTGAAATATTGTACTGTAGCAAATAAAAATGTACATATATTGCATCTTCATAAAACAAAAACAAAATGAATCCTAGGATTCAGTATTCCTGAGGTCAGAAGACCTGCATGACCTGAGGATAAAAGGAAGTAACACTGGTCTTTCACCCAAACCTTCACAGCCCTTCTCCCCAAAACAAATTCTAAGTAATTAAAAAAAAAAAAAAAAAGAAAGAAAGAAAAAAGAAAACACTCTACGTGAAGCAGCTAGGCAGGTTTCTCCTTAAGAAAGGAGAAGATGCATCTGGTCACAGAGCCGATCATATAACTCACTTAGATCCAGAAAAATATTAAGTGATATATCTCGATTTTATTTGCTTCTTGCATATAAAGAACAAATAGCATACATGATAAAAGAACCCCATGATTAAATCCAAAGGATACAAACATGCTTTGTTCCACAAACTTGTAAGCCAAACAGAGTAACCCACAGTCCACCAGCATCAATGATGGGGGTTGCTCCTGAAAATTGTATCTGTGGGGCTGTTTATACTTATAAACACAGGGGAACTTGGACGAACCATAGGAACTTGGACTACGTGAACTACATTTTGAAATTATCCTTAGATTTGTCTGTAGGACACGACCAACCTGTAATCTAAACCTGGCACACCACCACAGGCAAGGGGAAAGACATCCTGGGCTTTGTGCCCAAAGGCACTCCGAGAATCTAGAGTTCCATGCCCTGCTCAGACCAGACAATCTCACCTGGCTCTGTCTGTCACACGGGTGATGGACAGGGTATGGGTAGAGGCACTCAAACTGATCCGGAGGGAATAAGATACATCGCTTGTAGCCTTTAATCTGAGCAAAAAAGTTCTGCTGCTCATCATAGTGAGCAGGCGTCACATTTCCTGTAGGGAGAAAGACAGTTTCTTACTCGGAGCAGGGGCACTACTGCACAAGCCGAACACAGAGCCCAGTGCCAGAGGGAAACCCAGTCCACCCTCCTAATCAAATTTCAGGCAGAATCAGGTAACTACACCTTTCAACAAATTACATGTTAAACTCTCAAGGGTCATAAGTCTAGTCTGGGTAAGCGTCTATCACCAACTAGCAAAGGAGACTTTCCCAAATGCTGACCGCTGCCCTTATAGGAAGAGCACAACAAGATGATTGTGTATTTGTGTACTCTCCTTGATCATGCCAAGAATTCAAAGGAAGTAAGAGTAAGAAATGACTGGTATTGGGGCCAGCGCTGTGGCACAGCGGGCAAAGCTGCCACCTGCAGTGCCAGCATCCCATATGGGTGCCAGTTTGAGTCCCGGCTGCTCCACTTCCGATCTGGCTCTCTGCTGTGGCCTGGGAAAGCAGTGGAGGATGGCCAAGTCCTTGGGCCACTGCACAAGTGTGGGAGACCCAGAAGAAGCTCCTGGCTTTGGATCGACACAGCTCCAGCTGTTGTGGCCAACTGGGGAGTGAACCAGCAGATGAAAGACTTTCTGCCTCTTTCTCTGTGTAACTCTTTCAAATAAATAAATAAATCTTAAAAAAAAAATGAAATGACTGGGATCAGCAATCTACTTTGAGGTGTTAGCCTGTCATTTAGGTTGCATGAGTATGTACCTGCTCTACCGTTCTCCAGGAGCCTTAAGATTCTCTTTGCTCCTCCTTCAATGCACCTGTGAGATGCAGCGCTTCTTACAGCAACACTAGGGCTCACTGAGGGGAAACTTACCAGATTACAGAAGTGTTATATAATTTAAATAAGCCATGTGGGGCAAATATTTACTCTAGGGATTAAGATCCCCACATTCAACATCAAGAGTCCCTAGGTTCAATTTCCAACTCTGCTCCTGACTCTATCTTCTGGCTAATACAGACCTTGGGAGGAAGTGGTGATGGCTTAAGTGAATGAGTTCCTGCCACCCATGTTATGTTGGAGACCTGGATTGAGTTCCTAGCTCCTGGCCTCATGCCAGTTGGGGGTTGTTTCGGGTATTCAGAGAGTTAACCAGCAGATGGGAGCTGTCTCTCAAATAAAAATAAATTCACACGTAAGTGTACATTATTTAAGATGTCACCTTGAATTAGTTCTGCACTGGTGTGTGTATGCTCCATTTTCTCCTTTATAACTGGGACTATGTCTAGTCTCCTTTGCACAATCTCTAATTCAAACACGCATCTCCACAGAGCATGTCTCTCAGGAAACACACTGCAGCTCTGCCCAAGTATTCCAAGACAGCAGCCGTCTTAGTGCTCAGAATCCACAGACATCCTCAAAGGAGAGCTGCTCCCTCATCTCTACCTGAGGGATTCACCTCCACGTGCCCTGCCGCAGGAAAGGAAAGCAACAGAAAAACTCAAATAAACCAGAACTGGCTCCTTCCTGGCAGGTCAACCAAGAGCTGGTTTCAACAGGGCAAGTATCAATTCATAAACTCAACTGCTGGAAACCTATATCAGGGAAGAATCTAAATCTGAAGAAAGGACAGTCAAAGAAAAAGAGACTTCAGAGCCCAGTGGTAAACAGCAATGAGTAATTACTCTGCTTCCTTGTTCAACTCAGTTTATTTACCATTTACTAAGTACCTACTATGGCTGGCACTAACCCAGTTCCAGAAACAAAAACAAGACAAGGATCTTCCCTCTCCTAACTGGAGTTTAAGACTTCTCCTTTTCGCTCAAAAGACAAATAAATACAAGAAGAATACAGTCACACACTTGCTTATGTATGCACAGAATCACCTAGTAGGAAACACAAGCATGTTCCCAGAAAGGGAAAGTGGTAGATAGGGGTGAAAGACACTTATCACTGCATACCTCTTTAAACTGTTAGATTTTGGTAGCCATGAATTATTCTTTATTTAAAAGATGGGATTTATTCTGGAAAAAAAAATGTTTTCCCTTTTTTACCAGGAGAAAAATCTGATTGATCCAACAGGGAGTGAGAGTGTTTCAGAAAGGTCCCCAGTACCCCAATATATGCATTGACAGGGCAGCTGAAAAAGAGAAATGGAACTTTCTTGAGTGCGTAAAACCAGCTTCTTCAAGACTTAACATATACTATCTCATGTAATGTTCACAGCCATGAATGTACTTCAAAAAGTCCACGGAAAATAGAATGAAGTTTATTTTGTGTAAAAAGAAAAAAATCTTGAAATCCTTGCATAGAGGGATCTTCAAAAAGTTCACAAAAAATGTGTATGGATTTCAAAATTCTTTCACATCAAAATAAACTTACCTTTCAATTCCACTTTTCCATTAACTTTCAGAAATATCCTCATGTTTATAAGGTGTTTATATCATGTTTCTTCTATAGATGAGAAGGTTGAGTCACGGAGTTAATCAGGGGTAGAGGATTAAAAATCGGGTTTGTGCAACTCCAAGTTGTGCTGCTCGTCTAAACATTTCTTACCTTCCATGCCAATGAGCAGCAGGTTAGAAGTCAGCTGCCCCCAGCCACGCTTTCCCTGTTGCTTATTAATCCAGTTCCAGTTAAAACCCAAGAAGTCCATGACAATCTTTCTGCCCACGGTGTCATTGAGCGTTTGCTGCAGATACAACCTACATTCCCCAAGAAGAAAACTCCATTAGTGCAAGCACTCACAGTCCCTGGCATGGCCTTCGTAAGTCTGGAAACACACCCCCAGACACACACCAGCACCTCCCACAGATAACAGCTACAGTCGCGCAGGTTCCCATAAAATACACACAAAGAACTTCCATACAGTTGTACAGATTCCTAGAAGCCTATACAGACCCTAGAATGATGAAATCAGCCTTGTTTCAGAGGCATCTGCTTTGGTCTTTGAGAGCCACTGTGGTGAACTGTATTACTGTTCAGCAAGAGCTGGTTCCTCCCTGTGAGAGGTATTCTGTACTGCCTTGAAGCCAGGCTTCCTTACTGAACTGGCACTGGTCAATGGAATGTCCGTGCTGCTTCAACTGTGGTATTTAATGGACTGTCCACACTACCACAGCAACTATCAAGTTCCAGATAAGAGCTTCTGGAGCATTTTGAGTTCCAGAGTAGACAAGACAATAGAAGAACAAGATGATGAGACACATGATGAACATGTAGTACTAGTGAGAAACAAAACTGTTTCTGTGTCATGTTACTGAGCTCTGGCCTAAATCCCAGTTTATTTCAACTAATTCAGCCAGCTAGTTATGCCCAGCAGCTTTCTTCAGCTAAAGAAAGGAAGATGCCACATCAGGTGTAGGACCCAGGTGCTCTAACTATACTCGAGGTAAGTCAGTAGTTACTCAAGGGACGTGAAAATCAAGACACATTTAATAAGGGAGCAAACCTGAAGAGGAGCCAGAAGCAGCCTGTTCTGGTCCTAAGAGCATTACTTCAAAAGGCTCAAAGGTACCTCACTGCCCAGAATCATGATGCTTAGGGAGACAATATTTAGAAACCTTGACAGGGCTGACATGCAGCAGCAGGTTAAGCGACTGTTTGAGTTCAGGACCTGGCTGCTCTCCTTCTGATCCAGCTCCTTGCTAATGTGCCTGGGAAAGCAGCAGATGATGGCCCAAGCACTTGGGTCCCTGCCACCTATGTGATAGACTGGATAAAATTCCTGGCTCCTGGTTTCAGCCTGGCTTAGCTCTGGCTATTGCAACTATAATGGGGAGTCAACAGGTGATTGAAAGATATTCTCTCTCTGTCATCTTTGGAGTCAATGAGCAAATGGAAGATCTCTCTCTCCTCCCCACCATATAAATCATTTTGTAAAAAGTCTATGGAAGGAGTGGGCGCTGTGGCGTAGCGGGTAAAGCCACTGCCTGCAGTGTTGGCATCCCATATGGATGTCAGTTCAAGTCCCAGCTGCTCCACTTCCGATCCAGCTCTCTGCTATGGCGTGGGAGAGCAGTAGAAAATGGCCCAAGTCCTTGGGTCCCTGCACCTGCGTGGGAGACCAGAGGAGGCTCCTGGATCCTGGCTTTGGATTGACACAGTTCCAACTGTTGCAGCCAGTTGGGGAGTGAACCAGTGTATGGAAGACCTCTCTGTGTAACTCTTTCAGATAAATAAATAAATATTAAAAAAAAAAAAAAGCCTGTGGAAAAATGGAATTAAAAGTTTCTTTAAAAAAAAAAAAAAAGGAGCTCTTGCTAAGGTGGAAACACTAGTTACCTTTTCTGAGGGCATGGAACCCTCAAGACTTGAATACAACCTCTGGACTCTTCCCCAGAAATTATGATATACACATTCACACAAGTCTGCAAGTAACTCTGAAAGAGTCAGGGCTAGCTCCTAAACATGAATCTAAACAACATTCCTATTTATACCTGAACAATGCCTAAAACTGCTAAGGAGGATCCCAGTATCTTTTATTCCATAATCAACAACCTGTGTAATTTAATTATACAGTGAAATTGGCTGGTGCCAAACTGAGTTGGTAAGGCAAAACTTGGGGCCACAGCCTCCAGTGCCGGCATCCCACATGAGCACCAGTTCAAGTCCCAGCTGCTCCACTTTCAATCCAGCTCTCTGCTATGGCCTGGGAAAGCAGTAGAAGATGGCCCAAGTCCTTGGGCCCCTGCACCCTCGTGGGAGACCCAGAAGAAGCTCTTGGCTCCTGGCTTCAGATCTGCACAGCTCCGGCCATTGCAGCCATCTGGGAAGTGAACCAGTGAGTGGAAGACCTCTCTCTCTCTGCTTCTCCTCTGTCTCTGCGTAACTCTTTCAAATAAATAAATCTTGAAAAAAAAATTGCTCATGGTAAAAAATTTTCCCTGCAAATCCCTTAATCACCCATAAACAGACTACACTAACAGGTCATAACTAGGCAGACAAAATGCTCTCATCAGGAGAGGCAAGAAGCTTCAAATGACTGAGAAACAAGATGATTTGTGCGTCTTATCGTACGCTCATTCTCGGGCACATGTTCATTCCATGGAATCGCACACTCCACGGCTCTCAGTGTCTGGGATATGCATACACACAGTGTGCTCGAACCGAGGAATTCATGTGTGAGATAACTCAACTGAACCTGTCTTGAGAAGACATAAAGGACAGAACAATTAACAGCTCAGATCTTAGAAATTCTTTTGGTCCAAGTTTCATCATTATGACAAGTGCCAAGTGTCAGGAAGAAGAGAAAAAAGATGTTTCAAAGCTGTTCACTGACCCATGTACTGCTGACAAGGACTGGGCAGACTAGAGAAGCCGGGGTGGGCACCAAACGTCAATGACCAATCAGTCTTAGAGAAGTACGCAGGGAAAGCAACTCCCCAGAGGCAAGGTCACAGTGCGGGACTGAATACTGCCTGGGCCTCACACAGGGAGCTGGCCTCCACAGTGACAGAAGCAGGGAGGAACAATTACTCTCCATGGGTGTCTTGTGATCACGGTCAGCAACATGGAGCATCAACACTCCCCCCACCTTTTACTCCAATCTTCCCGAAACGAGAGGAGCCTGATATCCTTTGTCAATGGAAACCAACCACACAACTTTCCAGCCTGAACTGTTCCCGGCCAGCACCACGCTTCAGAAGACTGCAAACTGGCACTCTCGGGGATAAATCCAATGACAGAAATTTTTGTTTGGCCCCTGAAGCCTTTTTTAAACTTTTGAATTAGACGCCCACATTTAAAAGTCAGAAACTTTTAAACAAAAGTCTTGATCCTCAGCTTGCCTTGGGCCTCACTGCCAAATGGAAACCAGCGGAGTGGAGTGATGATGTCTCCCTCTGCCCAGGGTAAATGCCTTCAGCTCATCAGCTTCCGCCCAACTTCACTCATGTCACTCCCCCGACTGACCCTTCTGAGCAACTGCGAGTCTCGCTCCACGTCAGAAAGCCTGCAGAGCCACAACTCAAATCCTATCATTTCCTTATCCCCGAAGCTAGCGAACCGCCGCGCTGGAACCACTAACTCGCACCCCTGCGCTCGCAGGCTGGAAGCGCAAATGTCGCGCAGCAGGAACCCGGCCATCAGAGATGCCAGTCTATTCAGTCTAACAAGTCGAGAGGCATCCAGCGGGAAACCCTGGCCTGGGAACTCACCGGTCTTCCCCGCCGCGCTGCTGTATACCCTGCAGTTTCTCCACGAACTCATGAAACTTCATCTCCTCCCTGTTGGACCTTGGCTTAAAGTTCTGGAAGTTCGCCATCTTCTTCTCGTCGTAGTACAGGAACTTGTGGGTGCTCGCGCTGTACACGGAGAAGTCTCCGTTGCCGATATTCTCTTGCAGGTAATCGAGGTCCCACTTCAGGGCAGGATACACAAGGTTTGTGTCCGTCAGCACCACAGGCTCCTATGGGAAAACATCGGATGAAAAGAAAAACAAAACAAAACAAAACAAAACAAATGCAGCGCTGGTAAGGAGCTGGTGGGTCCCTGTCCCGCGATTTCAACCGCTTCCCAATGTCAAAATACTCTCCCCGCCCCAAGGCACCACGAACCCCTGCAACTCGCGTCTCTCCTCGCCTTCCTCCCATCTTCCCAGCGCCCGCTCCGCAGCCCCGCCAGCCCCCTCCTTTCAGTCGTTCGCCCTCCCCTCCCAACTGGGTCCCTGCCTCCTCCCCCTCTGGGCGCGGCCCCGCCCCCCACCTCGTTCTCTATGAGCTCCTCCGCCCGGGGGTCGCTCTGACTCAGACGCGGGATGGGCCGGGTCGGGAAGCTGTAACTGCGCAGCTGGGATTCATCCCAGGCGGGGCTTGGGGCTTCGGCCTCTTCCCGGGGTTCTCCAGAGCCAGAGGCCGCGGCCTCCGCCGCTGTCGCCGCCATCTCCGCCGCTGAGGACGGCCCCGCCGGAAGCGGAAGCTCCGCCTATTCCGGACGAAACCACAACGGAAACCATAGAGATGAGCCGCGCGAGGGAGCGCTCGAGATAGCGAGAACGCGGAGCCGAGACCTGGGGACGCGCCTCCTAGTGGTGACTGGCAGTTCTACACCCCAGGCTCGGCTCTTGAACTGGGGCTGGACCTGGGTCCCCCTGAGTAAGGGTGACCACCTGGTAAACCAATGCACGAACGATTGCTGCCTCAGTGTGCCCAGACCTACAAAAGAGGCACACGAGGCAAGTTTACTTAGGCACTGACCTTTACACTCATAGATGTGGAGAGAAGCAAACTCTTTACGCACCTAAAGAAGTCGGAGGGAAAAGCACTGGAGGCAGCAGGAGATGGCGCAAGTAATTGAGCCCTGCCACCTACAAGGGAGACCCAGATTGGGTTCCTGGCTCCCAGCTTCAGTCTAACCTAGCTTAAGCTGTTTTGGGCATTTGGGGAGTGAATCAGCAGATGGAAGATCTGTCTCTCCCTCTCTGTAACTCTGACTTTCAAATAAATAAATCTTTAATTTTTTTTTAAGGAGCAACCCCTATCATTTATTTATTTGAAAGTCACAGTGAGAGAGAGAGAGAGAGAGCGCTTCCATCCACTGGCCCACTCCCCAAATGGCCGCAACAGCTGGGGCTGGGCCAGGCCGAAGCCGGAACCCAGGGCCCTCTTCTAGGTCCCCCATGTGGGTAGCAGGGGCCCAGGAATTTGGGCCATCCTCTGCTGCCTTCCTAGGCACACTAGCAGAGAGCTGGATTGGAAATGGAGCAGCCAGTACTGAACTTGCACCCACATGGGATGCCAGCGCTGCAGAAGGCAGTTTAACCGGCTGTGCCACAGCACTGGCCCTAATAAATCTTAAAAAGAAAAAAGAAACAAAATGGCCGGCACCACGGCTCACTAGGCTAATCCTTCACCTGCGGCACCGGCACACTGGGTTCTAGTCCCGGTTGGGGTGCCGCATTCTGTCCCGGTTGCTCCTCTTCCAGTCCAGCTCTCTGCTGTGGCACAGAAAGGCAACGGAGGATGGCCCAAATGCTTGGGCCCCTGCACCCACATGGGAGACCAGGAGGAAGCACCTGGCTCCTGACTTTGGATCGGTGCGGCGTGCCAGCCGTAGCGGCCACTTGGGGGGTGAACCAATGGAAAAAGGAAAACCTTTCTCTCTGTCCCTCTCTCACTGTTTGACTCTGCGTGTCAAAAATAAAAATAAAAAAAAGAAAAAAGAAACAATCATAATTAATAGATTTTGGTCAAAGGCTACTTTAAAGGCCTGAGCAAAAGTGATAATGGCAAGTTGAATTTTTTTTAAGATTTATTTATTTGAAAGGCAAAGTTACAGAGAGTCAGAGGCAGAAAAAGATGGAGAGGTCTTCCATCTGCTGGTTCACTCCCCAGGTGGTTACAATAGCCGGAACTGCGCTGATCCAAAGCCAGAAGCCAGGAGCTTCTTCTGGGTCTCCCATGGGGATACAGGGGCCCAAGGACTTAGGCCATTTTCTGCTTTCCCAGGCCATAGCAGAGAGCTGAATAGGAAGTGCAGCAGCCAGGACTTGAACCAGGCCCATATAGGATGCCAGCACTGTAGGTGACAGCGTTACTAGCTATGCCACAGTGCCAGCCCCTAAGTTGAATTCTTTTAAATCAAGGGCTAATTTCTTTCTTTTTAAAAGATTTATGTATTTGTTTGAAAGGCAGTTACAAAGAGAGAGAAGGAGAGAGACAGATCCTCCATCCACTGATTGACTCCCCAAATGGCCACAATGACTGGGTCTGGGCCAGGCTGAAGCCAGGAGACAAGAGCTTCCTCCGGGCCTCCCACATGGGTGCAGGGGCCCAAGAACTTGGGCTGTCCTCTGCTGCTTTCCCAGGCACATTAGCAGGGAGCTGGATTGGATGTGGAGCAGCCGGGACTCCAACTGGCACCCATGTGTGATACTAAAACTAAGGGTCCTTGGCTTAACCCACTGCGCCATAGTGTCAGCCCCAAGGGCTAATTTCCTTAAACATATTCCATTTTTCTGCCTATACCACCCTCTCTCCTACTTGAAGAGATTCTCACCATTAGAATGGTGTTGTTATTGGTGGCCAACCATGGCCATCTCACATTTCCAAACACTCTATATTAGTTATAAAAGATCATATCAATAACCTTTATTGCTTGCTTAGTTCTTATGGCTTTGGGAGGCTGAATTCTCCGATGGATCCCAAGACTTGCATCCTGTGCTGTACCCACCATGAATAAGTCTTGTTCCTTAAATGAAAGCAATACTTGTGACTATAATCAGGCACCATTTCTGTGGTTATGTTACCATACATGGTAAAGACATAGTTAAGATCCCCCAATCAGTTAGCTTTGAGTTAATCAAAAAGGAGATTTATCCTGTGTGGGCCTGACCTTTTCACTCCAGCCTGTTAAACTATTAAATCCAGAACCAGAGGTCAGAGACAAAAGTCTGAGAGATTTGACAGTACATGCTATCAATTTTTTTTTTTTTTTTTTTTTTTTTTTGTCTTGCAAGAGCAAACTGCCACGGGATAAGAAATGGGGTCGGGTGAGCTCTAGGAGCTGAGAAAGACTCCAGGTTCAATGGCAGCAAGAAAGTGGGGACTTTGTCCTACAAATGCTGGTAAGTGAATTCTGCCAGCAAACACTGAGCTTAGGAAAGGACACAAAGCATCAGGTGAGATAGTAGATCCGAACAACATCTTGTTTTCCACCTGATAAGACCCTGAGCTGAGCACCTAGCTAATCAGTGCCTGAACTCAAGGAAAATATGAAATAATAAATTGGTGTTGTTTGGGTTTACTAAATTTATGGTAGTCTGTTATGCAGCAATAGAAATAAATAGACTGGTTAACTATGTAATTATGCTACCTAGTAAGTGTGTTCATCCAACTGATAAAAGTGTTACCTCTGTGGAAGAGTTGGGGCAATCAAGGCTTTACTTTATCTGCAATGTTTGAATTTTTACAAGAATATATTAATTCATGACCTTAGGAGTTAAAATAGATTAGATCAAGAATATTCAAATTACTAAACTCAAGAGTGAATGATTATTTTTGCTGACTTTGTAAAAAATAAAAAAAGCATGGATGGGATACTATAAGCAATTGTATGACAAAAAATTTAGAAAACCTAGATGAAATGGACAAATTCTTAGAAAGACATAAACTGCCATAACTGACTCAAGAACAAATAGAAAATCTGGGGCCGGCGCTGTGGCGCAGCGGGTTAATGCCCTGGTCTGGAGTGCCGGCATCCCATATGGGCGCTGGTTCTAGTCCGGGCTGTCCTCTTCCGATCCAGCTCTCTGCTATGGTCTGGGATAGCAGTGGAAGATGGCCCAAGTGCTTGGACCCCTGCACCCATGTAGGAAACCTAGAAGAAGCTCCTGGCTCCTGGCTTCAGGTCAGTGCAGCTCGGGCCGTTCTGGCCATCTGGGGAGTGAACCAGCAGATGGAAGACCTCTCTGTCTCTACCTCTCTGTAATTTTGTCTTTCAAATAAATAAAATAAATCTTTAAGAAATAGAAAATATGAGTAGACATATTACAAGAAAAAAATAAAGAATAAAAAAATCCCACAAAGAAAAGCCCAGGACCAGAAGGAATCACTGATGACTCCCACCAAACCTTTAAAAAGGGGTAGGCGTTTTGATGCCGCAGGTTAACCCCTTCTTGAGATGCCCGTACCCATTTTGGAGCACCTGGGTTTGGGTCCTGGCTCCACTCCAAATTCCAGCTTGCTTCTCATATGCACCCTGGAAGGCAGCAACGAAGCAATGATGGCCCAAGTACTTGGATTCCTGCTACTCATGTGGGAGCCCTGAACTGCTGCAGGTGTTTGCTGGGGGCATGGAGATACAGCAGGGAGGGGGTTGTTGGTGGTGTGAACAGGTAGGTGATTCTCTCCCCACCTCCACTGCCTTCTAAATAAAATGAAAAAAAAATTAAAAAGTAATTTTGAATATAGATGCAACAGTCTTCAACATAATACTAGCAAATGGAATCCAGCACCATATAAAAAAGGACATTGGGTTGCTTCCACTTTGGGCTAATATAAATAATGCTGCTGTGAACATTTTTTCACATGTTTTTATATGGTTACATATTTTCAGTTCTCTTGGCTATTTATCAAGGGGTAGAATTACTGGGTTTTAGAAGCAGACAGTGGTGATGGTCACACAGCTGTGTGAGTATACTAAAAATCACAGGGGCAGGTGTTTGGTGTAGTGGTTAAGCTGCTGCTTGGAATGTCTGTACCCTATATCAAAGTTCCTAGGTTTGAGTCCTGGCTCTGCTCTCATTTCCAGCTTCCCACCAGTGTACACCTTGGGAAGCAACACCTGCCACCCACATGGGAGACCTGGATTGAGTACCTGACTCCTGGCTTCAACCTGGTCCAGCCCTGGCTGTTGTCAGCATTTGAGGAGTGAACTAGTAGATGGGAGAGTGTTCTGTTGTTTGTCTGACTTTCAAATAAAAAACATAGAACTTATTTAAGAAATTTTAAATATAAAAATCACTTTATCTTATACTTTTAAAAATTGTTCATCATTTATTTGAAAGGCAGAGTGACAGAGGGAGAGGGAGCGACAAAGAGAGATCTTCCATCTGCGGTTTCACTCCCTGGATGGTTGCAACAGCCAAGCCTGGGCCAGACTGAAGCAAGGAGCCAGGAACTCCATCCTGGTTTCCCACCTGGGTAGCAGGGGCCCAAGTCCTTGGGCCATCATCTACCATCACAAAAGCATTAGCAGGAAGGTGGATAAGAAGCAGAGCAGCCACTTAACTCCAACCAGCACTTGGATAAGGCACGCTGGCATCATAAGCCCACTGATCCATAACATCGGCTCCTACGGTACGCTTTGAGGGCGTGTATATTTTGGTATATGATATCTTAATAAAAATAAGTAAAGGAGACCAAATCAGTTTTCTGACCTGAATACAGGGCTTGCTATTGGCTCAATGCAGATGTTGTCCAAT